AGAGAGAGAGAGAGAGAGAGAGAGAGAGATGATAGCTTACTTCTGCCTCTTGGGAGGAGAGGGACCATTGGTGCATGTGTTTTCTTGTCCCGAGGCAGAGATGACCGTTGGACTGCACTTCTGAAATAGAAGGGAAACATTTACACAATAAAACAGAAGCGGGAAGAGATGATTATCTTGACTGGAATCTAGCACAACCATACTTCTGAAATGGGAACACATATAGACAAATGGGAAGACTAACCTTAACCATATTGTCGGTGTCAGACTCTTAAAAATTGCCACATTCCATGAACGAATGTCAAACTCAAAGAGGAGATAAGAGATGAGTCACTATAACGATAAACATAGACACACTGGCACATGGACACCTTGCAAAATAAAATCACCTTCAATAGTGAGACCTAAAGACCTCGGTTCACACAGTGCCTAGCCGTATAAAAATGCTGTCAATATTTCACTGGCTTGGCTAAACAGTAAGAGAAAAAAAACATGAACAAACCTTCCAAGTTTCCTTCGTGATTTTTATTGGGCTCTTCCATCCACCTAGTTAAAAAAAAAAAACATTCAAAAATAAAATTTGCTGTATAATAAAGTATTTAGCATTTTATGATATGGGATGTATGCTGACAAAATTAGGTCTTTCTCAGATTTTGGTCCTAAGGAAAAAGGTATGTCAAATGTATAGTAGGAGAATTTTGCACAATTTAGTAGTATGAAATGATAGAAGACATGTTAATAAACTTGAAAAAATGGCTATAGTTGAAAACCTACAATTTTGATCCCTAATTCGATTTTAAGTCGCTATTTCCATTCCCAGATTTTATCAATATGCCACACATCACATACAGAAAACAGGCAAACCAAGGACTAAAACAAAAATGATATGCAGTTAACAGTGCATTTATGACTAAAATTAAACTTTTTTTTTTCTGACATGAGGAGTTGCACAGAAGTAAAAAATAGTTGCTTGATTATGTTGCATATATTATATATGTAATCCAAAACAAAATTTAAAAACCCAAAGAAATGAACATATTCGACCTAACCATACACAGAAAATAAGGATATATCAAACACATAAGCCCACCAAAGCCAGTTGAACAGAAAATAAATAAGATGATTTCTTTTTTTTTTCATAGCGCAGCAGAGTATTTTACTCCTTGTATTATCTACAATCTGTCAATGGTAGCATAAGCATAAACCGTTATAAGAACCCAAGAAATTAAATGATCTAAATTGTCACCTTGTGTCAATGGTGGTGTAAAACATATATCTATAAATATATATCATATTTGTGAAAGTTCGTCACTTTGGTCGTCTAAAACTTCCAAATCACTTATCTTTCTAATTTGAAAAAATTAACGGTGGTTCAGAATCATTTAAAGGGTGCGCAGTTATATTAAGGAGCCTGAAGTCACTGTGGTTTAATATTAAGTTTTTCATTAGTTTCGTTTAGATCTAGTTCTGAGAAAGTCTGTCTTCTACAACGCCATTGTAAACAAGTGAGACTTCCGTTCACACGCAGTGCGCACTGGTCCAACAATGACTTAACGATCGATTCTTTTCAGTCCATTCATTGAACGGGGTACCCAGCTAGTACAACTATAATTTTATCGACATCAATTTACTTACCCATCAAATGTGTAACTCTAGTGAGGTCCATATAGAACTCCCTCCCCTGACCAACTTGAAGATAGCGCACGTGAACAGGTAGTCGAAGAGCGTCCATGTGTCCGAGGACAAGGTCAGACAGCCACTGCACATTTACCACCGCAATCCTCCATTCTTTCGCTTTTTCAAACTTCATGCCCCCGGGCCTGGAGAGAAAAAAACGAAGAAAAAATTACAACCAGAAAGGAGGATGTGAAGAACAATGTGTTGTCTCTCTCTCAATACTGAAACTGAAGAGAATCAGACAGTGACATAGAAACTGAACAGAAAAACAATGAGAATTAGATAGAATCGGACAATAACACTGAAAGTGCAGAGAATTGGATAGTAACACTGAAAGTGCAAAGAATCGGATAATAACACTGAAAGTGAAAAGAATTAGAAAATAACACTGAAAGTGAAGAGAATTAGATAATAACACTGAAAGTGAAGTGAAATAAGACAATGTGTTGTCTCTCTCAGCACTGAAAGTGGAGGGGAATCATAAGCAGCCACTTCGTCCTCAA